GCTCTGGCCCCATTCTGCCACTGAAGTCCAGCATTGAGAAGCCAGGGCACAGCGGGCCAGGAGGAGCAGCCAGGTGCCACAGCTGGACACCTGCCTCTGGGGTGGGGACAGCGCCATGTCCCTCCCAGGCCCCTGAGGCCGTGGGCAGAGGCCAGGCTGGGCTCCTGACTGTGCCCACGCAGCAGAGATTTCTCTGCAGGGCCTGCCGCTGGCCTTGCCCGCAGTGGGGCTGGCATCCCTGTGGCTTGAGGCCCTGTGGGTGCCTGGCCCAGGTCCTCTCAGGCCCTGGGTGTGGCCTCTGGGTGCAGCTTCCCCCTGCATCCCCACATCCCCGAGTCCCTGCTGCTGCTCCAAGTACAGCCTGGCCCCGCCGCCTGCGCCCAGCAGCGGGAAGCAGGCATCTGCTGTCTTCCGCCCGTGGGGAGAGGGCACTGCTGGTGCCCGCCCCGCTCTGCCTCCCGCGTCCACAAGGGGCCTGAGAACAGAGTCCTCAGATGGCCCTGCAAGTGGGCGCTGGGGGTAGGGCTGCCTTCAGCACAGGGCAGAACAACAGTGGGGACCCAGGCGGTCACCGGTGAGAGGACAGAGGCAGCAACCAGAGTGGAGACTGCAGGGCTCCATCAGCAGTGGCGCAGCCGTCGTGGGTCTGGGTCCTGCCCTTTCCCCTCGGGTCAGAACCCAGGGCCACTCTATCGCAAGCCCAGTCCTCCTGAATTCTTTATGTTGAGACAGAGTCTCACTGAGTTGCCCAGTTGGGACTCAAACTTTAGATCCTCCTGTCTCAGCCTCCTTCTGTGCTGGGACTATAGGCCTGGACCCCTGTGCCCAGCTTCCTTGCCACTTTCTAGATGAGCAAAGTGAGTCCAGAACAGGCTGGTTTTCCCAGGGGCCTGGCACCCTCAAGCCCCAGCCAGGGACCCCAAGAGGCATATTGCGCCCACGCCGAGGATGTCATCTGCCTGATTGGGCCTGACAGGCTGCCGGCGCTGGCCACCTGGGTCTGGGGAGGCTCCTGCACCGGCCTAGCTCTGTCCTGGCTGCCGGCCAGGTGGCCTGCTGAGTGGACAGGGCAGTCAGGGCCCAGCCTCTTCGTGTAGTTTCCAGGCCTGGCGCCTCCGTCTGTCGCCAGCTGATGTTGACACACTCGTTCCAGCGTGACACAGGGTCAGGGGATGCAGCGGTTGTCCGTGAGCCTGAGGGTCAGCGGCAGCTTCCTCCTGCCCGGAATCAGAGCAGTCTACTGCCCAGACCTTGGCAGCTGCCTTGGCCATGCTGGGGTGTGCAGGCTCTCACCCTCCCCCACTCTCAGTTTGTCTTTGTTCTTTCTGCTCCTGGGAAGCCAGCCTGGAGCTGGGATGTGGGCGGGGGGCAGGGACCTCAGCACTGGCATGGGGCGGGCAGAGGGCAGCGTTCCTGCCCTGGGCACAGGCTGGGCCCCTGAGGCACTAGCATACAACAAGGAGGACCTGAGTCCAAACCTGGCACCATCCTGCCAGGCTGGGAGAGGCCCTTCTGGAGGACAGCAGAGGACAGGAGGGGCACAGGGGCCTTCTGGGAGGGAGTCTCCAAAGCAGCCAGTCTTGCAGGCAAAACCCAGGCACAGGCACCCGGGGGTGGCCTGAGGTCTCTTGGGCGTGCCCCATGGCCCACTGAAGCTCCCACAGGGGGAGGGAAGCTGGGGCTGGGCACCAGGAGAGACCGCTGCTCCAGTCACCCTGCCCTACAGGTCCACGGCCCTCGCTGCCCTTCATATCTGCCACTGGGGCCACCCCAGAGGCACCATGCTCAGAGAGCACCCTTGTCATTCCCAAAGCCTCTCCCAGCCTGGACTCCACATAAGAACCCCAAGGATGTTTGGGGTCAGGGCCCCTGAGAGCCAGGACAGGCCCTGCTGTTTGTGCAGCAGGGGAGACCGGGCCCTGGGCTTCATGGTAGCAGCATGTCCAGGGCAGCCTGGCCCTGCATTGTCTCGCAGCAGATGGAAATGAAAGCTGGCTTCCTGGTGCAGGGCCACCGCCCTTCCTGTCCTCCCTGGTGGGAGCAGGGGTGGGAGGACCCTGAGGCCACCCAGCCCGCCCACCTAGCCCCAGTATGCGGTGCCCAGCACAGGTGTTTGGGACAAGGGCAGCGCCCACTGCTCCTACAGGCGTTTCCTATTTTATGCTTCTGTTGGCACCAGCAGGTGTCCTGGTGACAAATGTGTCACCCCGCATGTGGCTGCAGTCCTACTTGATGCACCTGCTCACGGCTTTCTGTTTTTTAACCTGACACTGGGAGAGCGCCATTGTGCCCACTCCCTGGACCCTCTGTCCTGGGCAGCAGCCGCAGTGGTGGTAGGGGTTCAGGTGACCACCATCTGACCTGGGCCGCCGGTGGCAGCTGGGTATGCTGGGCCTGCACTGCACAGGACCCCATCCTGGGCGAGCCTGCTGCAGGGGACCCTCCCAGAGCAGCCCTGGGCCCCCCAGGGGCTTGCAGCCTAGGGGAAGAGTGCCAGCACAGGGGCTGCCCCAAACACCAGGAGCAGCCAGGGCCGCGTGCAGCCTGGAGAGCTGAGGGCTGCCAGGCAATGGAAAAATTTAGGTTCTTTCGAGAGCTAAAAATAGCATTGCAGCCCCTGCCTCCCAGTTCCGGAATCCCGCTCTGGCTGCTCCTCCGCCCGCCTGCCTGTGGAAGACAGCTCCCTCCCTGCCC